AGGAGGTGTGTAGGGGACTGTCATGAAGCCTGTGTCCCTGTGGGGGTCAGCAGAGACTGGGAGGAGGTGTGCAGGGGACTGGCATGATGTTTTCTAGGAGCTCCTCGATGATTCTCATTAGATCATGAAAAATGACTTTTAGCGTTTTGGACAATAGTAACTCTTCCAGATGCTTCCTAAATGAGATAGTTATTTAAAAAAATAAAAAGTACAAAGAGCTTTAATTATAATAACTGCTTTTAAACAATGGACAGCTTAAAAAAATGTTAGAAAGCTCTTTCTAACCCACCGGATAACATACTAGAAAAGCAAATGAAAACATTGGGTAAAATTTCCTATTTGTCTTTGCCGTGCTCTGTCATTAACTGTGGTTGAGTCTAACTTTGCTGTGTCCTGTCTCCATTTTCTGCTCCCGTCCCACTGCTTCCTACTTGAGATAGCATTAGCCCACCTACTCAGCCCTTCAAAATGAATCTGTCTCAGTAGGAGTTTCAAAGAATAAAAATACTTTTGCTGCAATTTGTGTTGTTTGCAATTCTGTCCAAGCAAAATTTTTACCAGTATTCAGAGCAGCTAGGTTGTATAAAAAATGGATATAGTAACAGCTTTCACACTTCATTTTTTTGATAGAGTTCAGTCTTTCATGTATTTTCTTGTATATTGCAGTATGTTATGCTTTAATTTGTAATATGATATAGTTTTCTGCAGATTCAAATACGTATTATGAACTGATAGGTTTCATCATTTTTTTTGACTCCTCAGCTTTTTATTGTCATTGGAAACAAAAGAGCAAATGACTTTTGGGCTGGTAATCTCCAAAAGGATGAAGAATTACACATGGACTCACCAGTAGAAAAGAGAAAAAGCTTTATCACTCAGAAATATAAAGAAGGAAAATTCAGAAAGACCCTTTTGGCATCTCTCACCAAAGAAGAATTAAACAAGGTATCCAGTGAAAAATAACCATAGAAATCAACTTTAATGTCTTTTTAATAGGTGCACAGATTCTAGATAAGAAGTAAAAAATCTTACATTATTTGGTAAAATAATGTTTAATTTGATTTCCTTTTGTGACATTGTGATTTTTCGATTATTTTACTTAAGGATTCATTATTAAGAGAGGGCATAATCTTTCTCCATAAATGAAGTTTCCAGCTAACTCAGCTCTATCTCAATTATTCTTAATATTTTGACAACTTTCTCTGATTTAGGAACCAGGTGCTGAATTTAATTTTTGCTGGTATGCTGCTAATGTTATCACCAGTTTTGGCATATAACAACAATGTATCCTTATTTAATAGAAACTATAATTTACTTAGTGCCATTGATTTGAAGTCTCGTTTGCTTTTGGCTAAGTGATTCTAGATCCTTGGCGCCTATTTTGTGAGGCACATTTGGTCTGCTAGTAAGACCTTTTGGCAAAGGGTCTGGTTATATATCTCCCCACCCCTTCTTCTTTTTCTGAATCACTGTTTCATCTTGTGTGTATTAGGAGGCTCTTTTATATATGGATATTCAAAGCATAAACCTTTATATATCTATCTTTTAATGGTCATATGATACATTTTTTCATAGTTTTCAGTCTTTTGTTTCTTTGTATTTTTTTGGACACAGACTCTAACTCTACCCGCCCCCCCCCACCCAATGCAGTGGTGCTATCATATTTCACTGCAACTTCCGACTCCTGGGCTCCATCAGTTCTCCTGCCTCAGCATCCTAAGTGTGTGGGACAATAGGCTCACTCTACCCTGCCTGTCTAATTTTTTTTATTTTAGTAGAGATGGGATCTTACTCTTGCTCAGGCTGGTCTCTAAATCCTGAGCTCAAGTGATCCCTGTCCCCTCTGCCTCCTGTCATGCTAGGATTGCCCGTGTGAGCCACCATGCCCAGCCAGTTCTCATTTCTTGAATATGTTTTTAATGGTAATGCTTGGTGGGTAAGAATCTTGAGGAAATCAGCTTTACATTGAACAGTTTGGAAAGTAAAGACCATTGTCCACATTTGAAAATATGAGTTATATAAATCTGATTTATATTTCTGGTTTATTGGATTAGTTTCCTAGAATAAGTTTTT